TGTACCATGGGCGGTTGTGTGTGCCAAATGAAGAAGAACTAAAGGTAGAAATCCTAGCCGAGGCTCACCACTCGCCATTCGCCCTGCATCCTAGCAATACCAAGATGTATCAAGATTTGAAGCGACATTATTGGTGGCGGAATATAAAACGTGATGTGGCCGAGTTCATGAGCAAGTGTCTAGTTTGTCAACAAGTCAAAGCCCCAAGGCAGAAGCCGGCTAGGCTATTACAACCACTTAGTGTACCTGAATGGAAGTGGGAGAACATCGCCATGGACTTTATCATGGGATTACCAAGGACGGCCAGAGGCTACACAGTTATATGGGTTGTGGTTGATAGGCTCACAAAGTCAGCTCACTTCCTCCCAGGGAAGTCCACTTATTCCGTGGATAAATGAGCTCAGTTGTACTTGAAAGAGGTAACAAGATTGCACGGGGTACCGCTATCCATTGTGTCAGATAGGGATCCCCACTTCACATCAAAGTTTTGGAAAAGCCTTCAGAAAGCGTTGGGTACACGGCTAGAGTTTAGTACAGCATTCCACCCACAGACGGATGGGCAAACTGAATGTTTAAACCAGATTCTGGAGAACATGTTACGGGCCTATATGGTGGACTTTGCCGGTAGCTGGGACACACACTTGCATCTCATAGAGTTCGCTTATAACAACAGTTATCAAGCGACGTTGGGTATGGCACCTTTTGAGGCCTTATACGGGAAGAAGTGTCGATCCCCATTGTGTTGGGACGAAATGGGAGAACGCAAGTTGTTGGGCCCCGATTTAGTGCAGGCAACTAATGAGGCTATCCAGAAAATAAGGGCTAGAATGCGTACGGCACAAAGCAGACAAAAGAGTTATGCAGATGTGAGACGAAGAGATTTGGAATTTGAGGTGGGAGACAAAGTATTCCTTAAGGTGGCTCCCATGAAAGGCGTTCTTAGGTTCGGGCGCAAAGGGAAGTTAAGTCCACGCTTCATTGGACCATTTGAGATTTTGGAGCGAGTGGGACAAGTAGCTTACCGGTTGGCCCTACCACCTATACTCTCAGGAGTCCACAATGTGTTCCATGTATCGATGTTGCGACTATACATATCTGACCCATCACATGTGATAGATTTCAAACCTCTACGGTTGGATAAGAGTTTGAACTATGAGGAGGAACCAGTGCAAATTGTGGATAGAAAAGTGAAAACCCTACGTAATCGAGAGATCGCGTTGGTCAAGGTATTATGGCGGAATCACCAACTGGAAGAAGCCACTTGGGAACGAGAGGAGGAAATGATGAGCAAATACCCTGAGCTCTTCAGAGCGAAAAGTAAGTAGCGCAAGCCTTATGTATTTAAGTGAAGCTCTCGAGGACGAAAGTTTCTTTTTGGGGGAATATTGTAAGGCCCACGTTTTGGGCCCACGACCCAATAAAAATAAATAAATAAATAAACCTACGGTTCAATAGGAAGAAACCCATTACCCTAGCCGCGACCCTTCCTTCTCTTTTCTTTTTTTTTTTTTTTTTTGTTTCACGTTTCTCCCTTCAGCCACGGCCCCGCAACCGATTGTTTCCACACCGTTCCGTGCCCCTTCCCATATCAGAAAACATCCGCCCAGCACCACATAGCCGCCGCAAGGGAACGACATCGTCGTTGCCAAAACCGACCTCAAGAGGGTTAGACGTAGCAAAGGTTCAACGCCTACGTAGGAGGAAGGCTCAATTCGAGGGGAGTCAGATCGTCGTTGATTGGGAAAGGCCAAGAACGCAGCTCCTCAGGTAAGGGACTCGCCTGTTGAAAATAAATGTTTTGTTTTTTGAAAATGGGTCGAACAGAATCGTCTGTGGGCTAGGTGCTGGGTAATCCGTTGCCAGGAACAATCTGATCTCTGTGTGTAATATTATGCAACTTGGTTGACATGTATCCTGATTGCTATGTATTATGATTGTCGTATATTTTGATTGTTGTATGTTCTGATTGTCGTATATTTTGATTGTTGTATGTTCTGATTGTCGTATATTCTGATGGTTGTGTAATCGAATGGTTGTGAAATCGGATGGTTGTGAAATCGGATGGTTGTGTAATTGGAATGTTGTGTATTCGGATCGTAGAGTAATATGGTTAGGTTGGGCAGTCTGACGATATGTGTCTATTGCCGACATAATGTGCTTGTAGGTAGCCATGAGCAAGGATTGTGGTAATAGTTACTCGCGGTGTGATTCGAGTAACTAGCCACCACTAGTCACCTTTGGGGTGATTCTAGAAAAGACTATCCAGTAATGGTTACACGCTGTGTGTATCGGGTAATCAATCGTTGATAGTCAATGGGAGGAAATAAAGAGGTGAGGTCCTCGTGGTAGTGGTTACACGTTGTGTGTTTTGGGTAACCAACTAGGAATAACCACTTTAAGGATTGAAAGTGACATTGAGGTGGTGGTGGTGGCAATAATCACCTGCTGCGTGTTTTGGTTGATCGCCTTATGACGATTCATATATTGACCCCCAATAGGGGAGTTCCTTACTGAGTATAAAATATACTCACCCTGTTTTTTTTAAATGATTTTTCAGGCGAAGCTGTGGCACGGAAGTGACGAGTAGGATGCCAAAGTCAGTAACGGAGCGATTCAAGGATTTTTATGTTTTTCTCGTAGTCTCATTTTTGTGGGAGAAACGTTTCCACTCTTTTGTATTAATTTAAACTATGTTGTGGCCGCCTAGTTTGCCACATCAGACTTCCTTTGATTCAAATTTCCTCGTTTTAAATAGCTTTAGGCGGCATTGTTTTGCAAAATTTTAGAGGGGTACCCCGCACGTGATTTCTAATAAAATTCTGCATGGTTTTCATCCTTTTCCATAACGGCCCTGACCGCTACTGTCAGGATAAGTCGGGTCGTTACAATCGGGACGTTTGTGGCCGAGATTCAATCTCAGTTCCCTTCAATCTCCACAAAAGACGAAGTCAATTTTGACCATTTGACCATTACAAAATGAAAAAGAAAAAACAATAAAGTCTTTCAACAAACATTATGTTTGAGTAGCTAAGGAGACAAACTCGAAATCTATTGGGCTTCACTCGGGTAGATTCAAACCCTGTTGTTGATATTTTAAAGTTTTCCAACTTCAACCGTACAAATATTCAATTGTCCTTCGTCAATCGTATCAGCTTCTAATTCTAGAAATGAATCCTTTTCGCCTTGGATCGTGTAATAGGTCCAGTTGGAACATTTGGAACACCGTGATTCTTATCACCATCATTGACGGAAAGACCCGTTCAATCGAGCTAAATGACAGATATAGGGAAACAAGAATAAAACTATTGGAGATCATATGAGATTCTTTCCGATGTCTGACAGCATCTTATTACACTCTCCTATTGGCTCCATTAAACTAAAAGTTCTTCAAGGAAAAATGTTTACCAGAAAAGACCATTGCATGGAAATGATGGTGTTATTTTTATTCTAGTGGGTGAAGACTAAAAAGGATGGACAACTTTCCTCAACCTCATTGAAAATTGCCCCCATCGTTCACCAAAAAACCTGATCAATAACCAAAACCTATTCACCTCAGAATAGAAAGAAAAACCACAACTTTTCCTATCAACCCTCACAGCCCTTGCTTACCATTAAAAAACCATCACAAAAGCCAGAAAATCCAAAGGCAGCTACAGAAACTTACCTTTCATTTCGATCCTCAACAAAAAGGGAAGATGGTCATCACAGAGGTTTTCCCATCCCAGTCCCTATCCTATGGATACATTGGTGATCATTACTCATAAACCCTTCCACCACGATTGGTTCATGAAACACATAAGCATATAATCTCTATTCAGTGATTTTTGCCATCCAAATCCTTTTAAGGCGGACAAAGCGATCAATGACACAAACTGAAGATAAACCTGAATAGAGGAGAAAAAATTGGACTGTAAAAATTTCCAAACCCATGATGCAAACATAACTCGCAACAAACCCAAGAGATTTTGTTGAATCCAATCACATGGATAGGTCGAAAAACACATCTCAGAACAAACCCAATCGAAAGAAGCAGATTCAAACAACCTACATGCCTTTTTGATGAACGGCTACAATACTTCGACTCTTTTGATGGTAGTGCTCCTCTTGAGATGAACGGTGTTGACAAACGGTCACTCTAATATGATGACTCAAACTCTAAACCTTAGCCCTACTTGGAAGAGAAGAAACCCTAATGCCAAAAAGGAAATAATTCTAAAAACCCTATATTTTAGATGAGAGAGGTACATTTGTATATGCATGCAGAAGACCCTAATCTAAAAGAATATATAATTACAATAAATAACAACTATACATAAAAAAAGATTTTAAAAAAACATATATTATAATAGAAATGAAGACCTGCAACTTCAACTGCCTGTCAGTCAGTAAGGGAACAACGAAAACCAAGGGATACCAAGAAGAAATTATCAAAATAGGGCAAGCCAGAGGCTATCAAATGGATCCTCTATCTGAAAAGTGATAGAGTTGTGGGAATAGAGCACAAAGGGTTTCATCTCCACCCAAGTATCCTCCAAAATATAATAGTTAGCGCCTTCGCCCATCAAACAATTAAAATTTGAGAAGATAAAAGGAAAACATGAAGCAATGGCAGTCTACGGACTAGAACCCTTAAACTAAACTTGAGAATCATTTGATCGAATAACCAAACATTCAAATAAGAAATCAATTGCCAAATTGTACAAAAGGAACCCAACTTTCATGGAGGAAAAAGAAACAAAAGAAGACAGAAGGGTCAAATCAAAATAATAAATAAATAAACAACTGCAACACAAACACTAGACCTACAAAATTGACGCCCCAAAAGGAACCCAACAGGCCCTAACCTAGCTAAAATTGAGGAAGAAAAGGGTTTAAAGAATAAAACCAACAAATAATTACAAAAGTTGTTAAACACAGACGCCCAATGTGAGGCGATAAACCTAGCTAAATTTGAAACAACATTTGACGTGAAGAACCACGGTCAAACAGAGAAGACTCACCTTGATGAATTGCATGAACTCACTGCAATGATTGTTGACAAATTCCTTTCTTGGACCAGCAGGGTTGGCAAGCTCTTCCATGACTCCCCCCGCAAGCTCCAAAACCCTCACAATTCTCTGCAGGAATGGAACACAAAAATTGGCCGTAAGAAATCTTGTGGTACAATTAAAGACCATGCAAAGAACTAGAAACAAAAAATTTAGGGTATAGAAAGTTAGTCCAACCTTCTCCACATTTTGAAGGCGTTGCAACGAAGTATTCTGGGTCAGCGGATCCATCAAGAGCTATCCTGGCTGTGACAAATCTCACAGCAATTAAGAATTTTAAACTAACTGATCTGTGAACAAAATAAAATTAAGAGAATAAATAAATAAAGCTAAAATAGTGTACGCATAACTGTTAACATCTCTTAAACTTAAATTGTTGAAATAATGAATTACAAGTCGAATTTCCATGACTAGCGGCGTTCCTAATCAAAAGAATTCAAATGAACTTTGGAAGGAACATCAAATTGTGAGTCATAACCGATCACAGGTTTCAGATATTATTGAACATCTGATAAAGATAAAATTCAAACATATAATAGGAAAGAACATCTGATAAGGAAATTAAAGTACGCTTGTTTAACCTTGAACATTTTCTATATCTTTTTACATCATGAAGTACGAAGCACATAGACGGCTATTAACGGATCTTATTTCAAGTAAATTCGAAGTATCAGTGATTATTGGTTAATGAAGGAGATAATTTAAATTTAAAGAAAAGGCTCATCGTGTTCTCCCCAACTATAATCTACAAATCTACAAATAAAAGTACGGTGGAAGTTGTTGGGTCGATCAAACTAACTCCTACAAGCTTAGGACTAAAAGAGAATTGGATAATACAATATATTACTTAATAAAGAAGACACGGAGATGCTAAAAGATTCATGGTTACCGAAACAGAGCAATTTCCAGAAGAGACCGAACAGATACAAATTTGATTAAAGCCCCAATTGATTAACATATGCAACAAATCAAAAGGCAAAACACGGCTGTTCGAGAAGTCCCAATTTGCGGAAGGATGTGTTTTATTTCTCGTTGCTATTTGGCTATTGTTTATGAAAATTCAAAATTCAAAAAAAAAAAAAAAATCAAAACAACGCCACCATTCTTTCATCATTAGACAAGTCCTAATTTGTGTTTTCTAGTGAGAAGAAACGCATAGATGAAGATCGGGAAAATACCAGTAAAAAATAGGAGTGAGGATGCGGCGGGGGCAGCACTGATCGGGAGAGAAGCGGCGACGGCACTGGGATGCTGAAACGGAGGAGACGGCCGGGAAGAAGAAGAAAAAGAAGGTGAGAGTGAGTGAGAGAGGAAGATGGAAAAGGTTTGGGTTTTTTTTCTTTCGTTTATTATTTTATTTATTTATTTTTATTTTTTTTTGTTATCGAGTTTCATTAGAGTAGACATATGAAATTAAGTTATTTTATTAATTAAGAATGTTGGTTGAAATGTATTTATTTTTTATTGCATTTTGCACCTGACATTTTTTTTTTTTTTTTTTTTGTCAAAATATTTAAGTACAATTGATGTGTATTCTTGGATATTATGTGTGGGTGTTATTATGCACTTTTATATCTTAACAACTTTTGTTAAACATTTAAAAAAAAAAATCTTTTTAAATATGATTAAAATATAGGTTTATATATATGCAGTAGTTAAATAGGGGCGGTTTGAAAACACAAAATTAGTAAGTTTAAGACTGGGTTAGTCCATGGTCCTCGCTCTAAAGTACACTCCCATCCACAACCAGCTCTTAGTTAAAGAAAAAAAAAATGGAGTAAAACTTAGTAAGTAGCCTACTTTGTGGGCCCTTACAGGTGACCTTAAGCTAGGATATTACTTCTTGTTATCTTTCCAGAAACGAAACCTTTGAGATTATCATCTTTCCAGAAACGAAACCTTTGAGATTATCATGACATGCATCATATTTTCGCCCGAAAAAAGTCTAAAATAACCCTCAACTTTTCTCCCCATGAGCACACAGGTGGTGTTATCATAGTCATGTCATCCATGATCTTAAAAATAGAATACAAGGTTGTGTATGATGAAGATATTTGAGTGGTGTGGGTTAAAAAAACCAAGAACAAGGTACAGGAAAGCAGAAAACAGAGGAAAGGAATTCAATAGGTATTGTTTTGAAAATTTCGTGGTTTTGTTTGGTGATTGTTATGATGATGTGCAAACTTGAGAATGGAGGGGTGTGTGTGAAGAGGTTGCCGGCCATTGAAGCTCGAGAGTTAAGCTGATCTAAGCGCTTATATGGAGGTATGAAAATCCACACATGTGAAGTTTTAAATCTTGACAACTAATCAGAGTGAAATCCAGGTTGTAGGAGGTGATTTTAATGTTGGGACACAATGAGAATTAACAGGGAAGTTGGAAATCTGTAGAAATCACAAGGTTGAAGACGAGCGCATGAAGAAGGGCGGAAAGGCAACTGACAGGCACGACTGCCTGCATGTGGGAGAAGCACACCAAGCGTGTATTGTTTGGTACATCTCCTTTTGACCCGTTCTATGAAGATTGACCTATACTTATCTATAAAATTGTTAAAGATAGATTAGTTTGGGAGAAATGGTGTGGAATTACCCTTTTAAGCATACCCATCTCCTTTTGACCTGTTCTATTAAGATTGATCTATACTTATCTATAAAATTGTTAAATATAAGTTCATGAAATGGCGTGGAATTAATATCTATAAAATTGTTAAATATAAGTTCATGAAATGGCATGGAATTACCCTTTTAAGCATACACCACCGAAAAAAGGAGTTCGAAAACAAGTTCTTAACTTATTTTGTAATCTATGGGCATGTAGATCACATGATTAAGAGGTTAAAATAGTAATATATGCATAGATGATATGAATATCTATTTATATATTGTTATCGCTTGGGTAAGATGTAAACATGATATAAATGTGAATGTTCTATGAGTTGAACATTATAAATATATGAATACATGCTTAAGATGCGAGCATGTTATGTATGTTAGTGAAAAGATTATGACTCTTGAGCCATGGACAATGTATATGAGTATTACAACCTACTAATTTCTCCAGAATTCATGACCGACACGCTGTGTGCTAAGTTAGGAACATTGAGTATTCCTAACCATTGATATATATGATGTTACCGGCCGCCAGAGAAATTAGTAGACAGACCGTATTTGATCGAGAGTAAATCTTACATACAAGTTCGAAAATTCTAAAATTCTAAATAAGCATAGAGATGTAATGTTTAAACTATAATTTCCACATCATTGGTACTGTCCATAACAAAACCTATGTAAAGAATTCGTTTCCATCGTCTTAGTCATTTGATTAAACCCCAACTTTTCTACTTCATTTATTCATTCCAATTCCACAGCAGAAGGCAAGTAATCAATTCATTACTATTGTAATCATTCAGACGAAGTCGAAGTCGAAACTTCCATTCTGCACGCTCAATCGGTTTGTATCCACCTAATTCCAGAGCGGATGCCTACAGTATTCACAAAGTTCTCCAGCTTGTACGATCTTTCTCAATACTACATTTCTATAATAAGTGTTAGTCGTGCCCGAAACAAACTTTCAAGAACCACGGATTCGTGCCCCTACTGATTGAAATAAGAAATCATCAGAATCAAGTCAATTCAGATCGATGCAAAGCTAAATAATGATAAAGTTCGCCACAACATGCCAACCTAACTTTAAGCACCAGAACGTTTTTGGTTTTTGGGTGAAGTACAGTTTCATATTTTAAAAATGTAAACATCATAGAGAATAGATTGTCAACTAGTGGTGTAACATCTAATTTGCCGTACATGTAAGTGATTCTACAGCCAATTATAAAGTTCCAGACATATTGTAAAAATATGCCTTCAAAAGGCAAATTGCCACTCAACAATCGAACAAGCCATGAACTAATACACTTTGGAGATCATCTAACTCTAGGCGAACGAAACTAAATAGAGCCAAAAGAAATCCTCCAAGGAGAGTTCCAAAACCTTTCTCAAGCCTCTACATGTTAAAGTCTTTGTATAAGTGACAGGAGGCTTAGAAATCTAGAAGTCTCGCCATCTATATTCTTCATGTAATTTTATTGTTTTCAAGAGAGCTTTGATTTTACCATTCTTCGTTTTCCTTTTTTTTCCTCGAGTATAATAAGATTGAATTAAATGCTAGTCACATAGATTAGTAGTTTGTATTTGCAGAGTATTTGATCTTCAATTAAAACTAGTTGTGCCTAGTTTGGGGTGTGATTACTAAATCTAATTTCCTAGTCTTCAAAGGCAGAAAATATCTAGATAGAAGATTGTGTTTTTGTGTGCTCGTCTCTATATATAGCTAATAAGTATCAGAGTGACAGACCCTTAATGCATGGACATACAGGAGGACCAATAAAGAAGAAAAGAGTCGGAAGCGAGCATGCATGAGTGAGGAGCCAATGAGAGAGAGTTATTAAGTCAACTAGAAGGGGCAGAGTTTGGATATCAAGTGAAGAAATCATCAGGTTACAAGGGGGTTGGGAGGGATTGGAATCTCTAAATCTAAATCTCCCTTGTTTTTCTTCGAATTCAATATAAATTGAGGTACCTTGGTGCATATGAATCAATATGAACTTCATTCTTCCAGAGGAAAGGCTAGAGTTTGATAAAAGAGAGCATCGTCAGAGCTCTACTCTTCGGTCTCTTTGAATTTAGAATTCAAAACAAAATGCTGTCAAAGAAAAATTGAGAGAATTTAACGNCTCCTTAGGGGCCGGCGTTAAAAGGTATGATATTTTTGGGGCTTATATGTAGAACGTAAAAGTCTGGACTGTTACTAGCATGAAGTTTTGAAAGGTTAAACAATTAAAGGTTATTATACGGATTTCAATCTAGGGAGCAAGTCATGTGCTGTGACCAACATGCTTTTAGTAAAGTATGGAACCTTGTGGTGTTTCCATGGGACACAAGCAGCTTTTTGGACCCAATGCTTCTAATTGTTATTTGTGTTCAAATGCCCATAATGCATGTTGGATTCTCCTTTTTTTGTCCTCCTAAAATTGGACTTCGAATTTGTGGACCCCTGGGAGTTAATCAGACAGCTATTTGTGTTCATACAAGTGTATTATAGTGAGAACCTTCATATGATCATTTAATTATGTACGACGATGATTCTTAACCAAGAAAGTAATATATGATCACAATCGTTTTACGTTTGAGCTTTTTTATGATTTCGTGTTCATGTCAAAGCTAATTCTCGTCATAGATCACTTGTAAAAGCCTAAAATTAGTTGTAATTATTGCATTGCTAGTTCCAGGGTGCGCAAAGATCTATGGTAGTTGAGTTCACATTTAAGTGCTTATTGTGATCAAAGCACATGACATTTGATAGATTGTATATATAATTGTAACATAATTGTTACATGAATAAAAGAGAGCATTTGATAGATTATACAGAAAAATGTGTCTGTAGTGCAGTACATGTATAAGTAGCTCATGTCATCTTGAAAGTTGATACATAGCCTATGGCTATGGATGATCGGGCGGATTCGGATGCGTTTTCGGCCCATTATAGTCAATATGGTAGACAAGTTCATCGGCACCGTCGATACTTTTTTCATATTCATGTGTGTTGGAGGAAATTTCTTGTTTATGATCCTGCATTTTGGAATATCCATATGTTAGGGTGGCGGAATCCATTCCAAAAGCCAAAATCAAAGAAGTTAGTATTAATTTAGCATACCTTGACTCTGTGATATTCATGTTCTGGGTTGGAAAATGATGTATCAAGGTACTTCCTTGCAGGTCTTCCTTCAGAGGCGAAAGTCTGAGGATGAGAATGAAAGGGATCCACAGAAAGAAGATAGAAGAGGGCAGTAAAGAGCAGGAAACATTGAATAAAATGTGAGTATCTCATTTCTTGACTTTGTCTGCCAAAATAAAGATGAGGTTATCTTGGGATGGAAAGAGATGGGTTTGCAGCAATATATATAGGCCAGGCTTATGATTTTGTTGCTAATTCAGAATGAAACAGACACAATACCAACCAAGAATCCAGACAACTGCCTCTGTCTTCAACCCATTTACCTTTTTTTCAGCCGACTTAACTGGTTGAAATTTCACGTGTTCGTTCCATGCCAAACAGAACCTCTCATGGCATGGCCAGATTGTTCATCGCTGTTTTTACTCTTTGGCTCTCTCTCTCTCTCCCCCCTATCTTTATCCTGTCAGTTACATGGTAATAGATGCTCGATGCCATTTTAGGAAAATAAAATCCTGCATTTTCTTTCCTGGTTTTAAAAAAATGAAAAAAAGCCCATCTTTTCGCTGTCTCTAGATCTATTCTTACTCGAGTGA